AAAGGTCACTGTGGTTATAATTAGCTGGAACAGCAGCCTGTGTGTGTCTGATTTGTCAGGGGCTGAAACCAGATCCCCTGCCGTTTCTGAGCCTCACATTCCCTTCTGGAAAATGGGTTGATTTCCCAAGACCCTTGCAGCGGGGACCTTTGTAGATTGCCCCCAACCTTGGCTGAGTGGATGCCTCCTGGACTGAGTGTGGGAGAGGGGGCACCCACCTTCTTGTCCTTCTCCTTGGCCTTGTCCAGAGCCTCCTGGGCCCGGCTCTGGGCCTGACGTGCTCTTTCCGCCTCGGCCCGCAGCCCCCGTAGCTGCTGCTCTGCTGTGGCCAGCTGCGCCTCAGCCGCATGTCGCTCGCTCTTCATGAACAGGGCCTCACGCTGCACCTGTGGCCCAAGCCCCCGTGTGACTCTCAGGACACCCAACAATGCTGGATCCCAGAATGCTTATGACCCTTCTACTTTGTTCTTTTGTTTTTGGATTTGTTTTTTAAGGCAGGTTCTTGCTCTGTTGTTCTGATGTGATCATGGCTCACTGTAGCCTCAACCTCCCAGGCTCAAACGATCCTCCCACCTCAGCCTCCCAGGTAGCTGGGACCACAGGTGCATGCCCGGCTAATGTTTTCTTTCTTTCTTTTTTTTTTGAGACTGAGTCTCGCTCTGTTGCCCAGGCTGGAAGCAGTGGCACAGTCTTGGCTCATTGCAACCTCCTCTTCCCAGGTTCAAGCGATTCTCCTGCCTCAGCCTCCTGAGTAAGTGGGAGTATAGGGAGGTGCATGATGCCTGTCCAATTTTTGTATTTTTAGTAGAGACGGGGTTTCCCCATGTTGGCCAGGCTGGTCTTGAACTCCTGACCTCAGGTGATCCGCCTGCGTAAGCCTCCCAAAGTGCTGGGATTACAGGCATGAGTCACCATGCCTGGCCCATTTTCTTGCATTTTTGGTAGAGATGAGGTTTTGCCATGTTGCCCATGCTGGTTTCGAACTCCTCAGCTGATGTGATCTGCCCACCTTGGCTTCTCAAATTGCTGGGATCACAGGTGTGAACCACTGCACCTGGCCCGATTTCATTCTTTTTAATCCGGTGGACTCTGATGCTGTGGTTTTGGTTTTTGTTTTCTTTTGTTTTGGAGTCTCACTCTGTTGCCAGGCTGCAGTCCCATGACATCATCTTGGTTCACTGCAACCTCCGCCTCCCCGGTTCAAGTCAATCTCCTGCCTTACCCTCTTGAGTAGCTGGGATCTGAGGTATGTGCCACCACACTCAGCTAATTTTTTGTATTTTTAGTAGAGATCGGGTTTCGCCATGATGGCCATGGCTTCCCAGAGGGCTGGAATTACAGGTTTGAGTCCCTGCATCTGGCCTTGTTTTTGTTTTCTTACCCCAGGGAGTATTTTTTATCACTGATGAGGGACCTTGTGAAATTAAATCAGAGGTGGCCCAGGCACAGTGGCTCATGCCTGTAATCTCAGCACTTTGGGAGGCTGAAGCGGGCGGATCACTTGAGGTCAGGAGATCGAGACCATCCTGGCCAATATGATGAAACCCTGTCTCTACTAAAAATACAAAAATTAGCTGGGAGTGGTGGTGCACGCCTGTAGTCCCAGCTACTCGGGAGGCTGAGGCAGGAGAATCGCTTGAACCCAGGAGGCAGAGGTTGCAGTGAGCCGAGATTATATCACTGCACTCCAGCCCAGGCTACCAGAGAGACTGTCCCTCCGTGCTCCAAAAAAAGTCCTTTATTCATCCGGTTCAGTATTTGATCCTTGACAATGGGAGA